CGAGCCAAATGTGAACGGACGGACCGACGGGGGGGTTACAATATACGCCCATCTTACATGTGGGCGTATAAAAATGTGTTATTACACCTGTTTCTAATCTAAATTACTGAAAAAAAACATTCTGCCAATATTTCTGATATTCTTAAATTGTTTACTTATTTTTCTATGTTATAACAGTATTAAATTGCCAAAATAAAATTCTAAGTCAACAAATTAGTTCATTTGGTGTGTATATTCAAATTCACCACATACAAGTGTATCTTTTAAAATGTAAATGAATGCAAACGCATGTATGAACAAGTTGAAATCTAGCAGTCATGGCAAGATAGATGAATAAATCCAGACAGATTAATGGTATCTTGTGATTAATTTATGTAATAATAGGTCAATGAATGAACAAATGAATGGAAAGACAAATAAATAAGATGTATCCTTTCAGAACAATAGTTAGTAATAATACTGTTAAATTTGTTAGTTTTCCATCTCCAAAATTGTGTGGAAATATTAGATCAGTGGCTCCATTTGTAATGATCTGGTGTCAGATGTATCACACATGCAAGACAAATCATGTGCCCTTCCCCTCTCTGCCAATGCCTACTCAGATGACCAATCTAAGATACATTTTAGGTCCACTGTTGTATGACGGCCCTGTCTTAAGGTTCAAAGATAAAGCCAAATAATAGGACTAGTTTCCACGCTGACAACTATCTTAAGAAAATAATCTCAATATTCTCAAGAACCATCTTTAAATTTCTTTATTATCAACACGTAAATAGTGTTTCTGCCAATTAGTGAGAATTAATGGTCTAAATGTATTCATGGTAATGTCTGGTTAAGATAAAAGGAAATATTTTTTCAACAAACTTTTCTCATGTTGGCAAACATCTTACATCAGCTACTTAATGAAACAACACAAGAATGTTTTTATATGTAAATGTTAACAAGACAATAGATATCCGTTTTTCTTATGGAAAATTTAACTGAGTCCTAATTGAAATCTGACATAAACAATCTTTTACAACCAGAGCCAATTAAAATTCATGTCAATAATTGATGGAGTTTGATTAAACTTCTTCAGAAAGGATAATAGAAAAACACCAGGACAAAGAGAACAGACAGTAAACAGAAAATTTGATCAGAAAGGTGGATCCTTGCAGTGTAAGCACATTTATTGGATACTGCCATTGTGAAGAACTATCTTCAATGAAGCACAAACAATATATTTAACTGTTTTATACAGGTACATATTGAACCAGCAGAGCTATAGACCTAGTGCTATATAATAAACATATAAAAAAATCATATGAAAATAACCTCAGGGATATTCTTTTCCACCAGCAAATTGATTGACATGTTAAGTTATTCATGATCAATAATACTAAAAAAAAACATATTTATAACATTTATTAACATCTGTATGTTTATTGGTATTTTATAGGTTTATTCATCAATTACTATGTACAGCTTGAAATAAATATTGTTGACAGGTCACATTTTATACATAGATTAATCAGCTTAATAAGTATATTTATATATTAAACAGTCTATTTTACAGTCCAGTTTCCATTTCAAAGCTGCATAAAATTTGCATTAATTTCAAAACCAAACCTTTAATTTTAATTCGGCTTTGCCTTTAGAGGTAAAATACCAACTTATTTCTTAAATATGAGTTTAAGATTATTTTAGCATAACTATCAACCATTTATTAACAAGATTTAGAAAGAAAATCAACTAGAACATTACAAATGATGTCATATCATATGGATTTTATCACTGTACTTTAAATAGGGTCAATAAGTTTGATATACTAAAAATGTCAACAACAAAATAAACATAACAGTCAGTGATTAAATCATAATTAATACATAAACTAATTATGTTTTACAAAGTAAATAAACACTTTCATTAATCTGAACATAAGAAAACCATTATTTTTATTTGAGACTTGTTCATCCAGAACTATTATAGTTAATATCCAGTAAGTTCGTTAATTATTAAGTAATTAATAATTAATCATGAGTAATTCGTTAATCAACAAATATATCAATCTACTCTGTATATTGATTTTACAATTAAACAAATTTTATTTCTTAAGTCAAAGGAAGAGTTTCATATCATACTGTTGTTGTTGGCCAACCTGAGACAGAATACAATGTAGATTAAAAGTTTGTCAGTCAGTCAGTCCTCCTAGATCTTTTTATGAAACAACTTATACCTGACTGGAAATATCCTCTTTCTAATACAAAAATTGAGACAAAGCAAGAGATATGCAATTTAACAATATTAGGCCATTGTACTTCATGTAAACTCTTCTATTTCACTGATATTTCTAGTTTGGACATCATCAAGGCTTCAGTAGTTCAGTGAGTAAGAGATTTGTATTCTAACCTGAAGTGGTCCAGGGTTAAATCCCAATAAAGATCCAGATTATACCTTAAGATTTTTCAACTCCTCTTTCTTTCCTGCTTTCAGTGATGCAGGCTGGAGGAGCTGACAAGGAATATAAGAATGTAAAAAACCATTTCCGTTCATTTCAGTTTTACATCATATGCACTTAATGGATTATACAGCCAATTAAATATTAAATTTCTCTAACATTTCAATTTGAGTGGAAAAATATGTAGATGTAGGTGTTTTCACTCCAGTTAAAGAAATCATTCATCAAATCTTAAATAACAGCACATAATCCTTCAGTTTTATGTCTGTTTTATGGCTTAGTCTAGTTAAATTTATAATTATGCTTGATTTTCAATCATCTTTTGTTTTCAATTTGTTCATACTAAATATTACTGTTTATTCAGATGTAAATTGAAAATAAAAACACAAAAGGTCAAGAGGTTGCCACTGTCAACAACTTTAGGAAAGGTTAGGAGAAATTAAATAAGAGTAATATAGAACTGACAAGCTAAAGATTGATAGATATTAATATTATAATATACGCTAACTGATGGGATGTTCTAATAAGAAGACCACTTTCACTTGAAGCTATTAATTCAATTATCAATAATAAACCACTGGAGAACAGTTTCCTTTTATGATATTTCTCAGGCCATTCAGCAGATTCCAACAATAATCTATTAAGTTTGTTTGGGTACTTCAAACATCCAGAGAATGATCTGATAATATATCCTTGGACATTTGTTTGTATATTTGCTTCACTTTCTGATAGAGCCCAGTTTGAGCAGACCATATTGCTTTTCATAATTTAAATCCGATATTCTTATCTTGATAATATAGGATATTGTCACATTCTGGCAGTTATTAACCATGGTAATACAGCCAATACATATTATATGTCGTTTGTTTTATTATAGGGTGATTCAAGTTCTGTTTTAATATTTCTAGGATGATCATACATCCAATTCTAATTCTAATAGTGGTACAAATAGTTGAAACAGAGCTCACTCAGCTGGCTATTAAATGCCTCTGAAAGACAGTGAATAGTCAAAAGATTATTGGCCCCTAATTCAGTGCATTAGTCAATGACAATATGTGAATTGTCTCTCTGATGAGGTTATAAATTCATACAGAGTTTAGCTGTTAGATACAAACAGAGAAGAAATGAGAGGAACCTTGACCAGATGGTTGACAAGAGATGCCATATAACAGACAGACCAAGATCATATCCTATCAAGATATGTGTAAATAAAGGAATAGTTGTATGAGGTCATGATTGAAATGGAATGACAGGCTTGAAGACAACAGAATGGCTCACAAATGTAATGAACAGAATAATACCATGATGATAATGTAAAGACATTGAACAGTTTCACCTGATGATGTCAATGCTATTAGATCAAACAGTTTCACCTGATGATGTCAATGGTATTAGATCAAACAGTTTCACCTGATGATGTCAATGGTATTAGATCAAACAGTTTCACCTGATGATGTCAATGCTATTAGATCAAACAGTTTCACCTGATGATATGATTGTAAATGATTCATCTTCTGGTTCTTAAGCCAATTGTGGATTTCAAAGGACGTAATTCTAACTGTACCTACCTGAATAATGCTCTCCATTTCTTTGTGATCTATAGTGCCATTTCCATCTATATCATACATATCGAAGGCCCAGTTTAATTTGTCCTCAGCCTTTCCCTTCTGGGATGTAATATTAATAGCTAATAAAAACTCTTTAAATTCTATAGAGCCACTATGGTCCTTGTCAAATGAACGGAATACATGTTCACAGAAGTCTTTTGGATCTCCTCCAGGAAAAAACTGAGAATACACTTCTTTAAACTTTTCTTTAGATAATGTGCCACTGGGACAATCTCTCTGAAAAAGATGAAATAAACTTATAAAGAATGAAATTGAGAAATATATCAGATCAATGGTTAATTCCAAGAACTAACAGATTAAAATTTGATTATGGGGCAAATTTTATTATTGCTGTAGAATAGAATCTTCATATAACCCATTATTGTATATTATCTTATATAGCCAAAATCAGATTACGTATCATGATGATACCTATGTGTTTCGTCAAACAGACCCGGATTCTGATATAATACGCAAATCTTGACATATTCCATCACTAGTAATCAAACTGAACTATCAAGAAGAAGATACACAATGAAACGAATAAAAGCTGTAAAAAAGATGAATCAAGAATGTTAAAGTTATCAAGCAGTAGATGAATGAATAAATTATATCTGGCAATGCAAATATCAGACAGTATTCAAACCTGAAGTATCTCTATCAAATATTTAATTGTTTGATATTATGATTTAATTTCATTCAAATAGAATAAAAGAATCATAATAGACAAATTTGCCAGTGATTTCCTCTTTTATTAAAAATTGCAGACTACGTTGAGGAGGACTTAAATCAAAAAGATGTATTTAATAAATAGAATAAATATTCTGCAGGAGAGATGAAAGAGATCTACTCCTCATATCAGTTTCCTCACTGAATCCAAATTATTCATATTCCTAACCTAATCATATTCATTGTGTCATTATCATACTTGGTTTCATTTCATCAAGAACTTCAGACTTTTTACAGAAATTTGATTTGTTTTGTAAGTAAAACTCTAAATAATAATAATACAGCAATTTAAAGCTTTTAGTCTGAAATCATGCCTAATTACCATTTATTGTCATCATTCCCTCCTACCCAATTATTTTAGGACCTAAGCCAGGTTTAAAGGGTTAATCCTGCATGGAGACAATAATATTTAAGTAAGAAATTTAAATGCCTAAATATTTATCAACTCTTAAAAAATAAACCCCATAAAAATCTCTTTAAACTTCAGTATCCAAACCCCCAAGGGTGTCATATTTAAGTTTGACCTGACTAGTGTCATGTCACAGAGGTCAATGGTGATTTTGGATCACAGCTGAATCTGATATTTTGCATGTACTATGAATAGATGTTTAATAGACTGAGTCAACTGAGTACAGTATCAGTTTAAGGGTGATTGAAGTATGACAATGGATTACCTATTGATAAACTTCAAGTTCAATTTTATACCTCATTACACTAACGGACCATAATTTCTCTTTATAATAAGTTTGAAAGTATCATTACAGACTTCAAAAGATCTCAAAGTGAGTCAATGGACCATTTTGTATGAATAATGAACAAGGTTTCAAAACTGGTTTATCAGAGAGACTCAAAACTTCTTTTTGCACCATTTGCATTGATTTCATGTTGAAAACTTTATCAGATTTGAGTACAAGCCTGGAACTCTCATACTCAGGCCAAAAAACCAGTTTGTTGTCAATGAAAGTACCTTTTGGTTTTCCAAAAATTCATTTTTTTACAAGGATAACAACTTAGGTTCACCAATATCATTCACCAAATAGGCATACTGGTATCTATTTACAGCTAGAATAATGAGAAAGGATGACCAATTCAAGGTCATAGACTTTCAACACGGACTGAGATTAGAACCCATGAAAAGTTAAGCGGATGATGTTATTTAAATCCCCAAGCTCTAACCAAGGATACAAGAGAATCCCTCTAAGGAGAAAAATAAGAAGAAGGCTGTGCACTAGTAAACTATATTAGTATAAGAAATATAAAGAATCAACTTACCATAAATCCTTTATACCACTGTTTTATCTCAGCTTTTTCAAAATTTGTGTTTGTTTCTAAGAAATACAAATCTTCTTTAGATAATTTCGTCTTTTTTGAACCTGAGTTTCCCATATTTGGTTTTATCTACTTAGCTATCCTGAAAAATATAGAAAAGGTCCATTGAGTACAGAAATTACAGATTTCTGAAAATCTACTGATGTGAACCTAGTTCCACCAAAACCTGGTCAAAATTCTAGCTAACATTCATTTGGAACTACCAACAGAGTAGGTAGGATGATAACAATGTACCAAATGTTGGTGTTAAAATATGAACCAGGGATTATCATCTCATATAATTGCAAATTCAAAAACACCATTCAATTTACAAAATTTCTTAACTCCACAATTAAACTAAGACCTACTTTAATTGGAAAAGTACAATCTTAATGTTAAATACTACATTTAAAGTCATTTTAAATTTTTACAAATCATAGTTACACTGTATATAATGAATTTGTCATTTTCCTATTTCTCATATCATACAAAAAATACTAAATCATTGTGATACACCCAAACTATCATACATTATTTCAGCTTAAAAATCCAGTTTGCTGATCAAAGTTTAAGTATCTAATCCTGAATTTACAATTCAAAATCCAGTTTTGTTACGATTAATTATTTAGTATCCATGCATCGTTTTACAATACAAGATCCTATGGACAATACATTACAATATAATGTCATGTTACGTATGTGTGCATGTAAATGAGCAAATTGTAACATGACCTCACAAAATTTAATGAACAACATTATTCAATTCTAAATTTTCTTTTCTTTTCAATTCCCATACATGTCTAACTTCAGTATTACAGAAAAATAACTATCCTACCTTCTTCTTAACTTTAAATCATTGAACAAAAGAAACTAAAAACTGGCACACAAATTACATCAGAGACCTACATTAAATTTTATCTTTTCCACCCAAATTCAACACCTACACAAAACAAGTGTCACTACAGACTACTGAATGTATTACTCATTAAGGTTAAATATTGGACTTGCCTTTCCTTACAGCACATTTTTTACATACTATATCATTATAAACTGAGAAAAAACATATCACAAAAAAATTTAATACATGGAGACTTAAGGCTTTTAATGAAGGCTCAGGTTCATGCAAGTGAACCTCAAAAAATGTATTATTTTAAAAATAATTCATATCTTCATTAGTCAAATGAAAGACATAAAACACCATAACATTTAAAAATAAATTGATTCTAGGTGAAAAATATGTTTGAATTCATCTTAAGGATATCAGATTTTATTAAATTTTTTCAGTTCCATTTTTAGAGATCCCTTTTTCATGTGTATCAATTTATTTCTTTCTATCTTCCTACTCTAATTTTTAGATCTATATTATATGTTGTGGTGTAAAGTAATAGTCAGCAGGATTTGCCCCTAATAGTACCAACTTGAACTTACCACATAAACCTACAAAATATACTTTAAGTTGATCATAAATATCCAAACTTGTCTAGTATTCCAAATACTTCATAAAATCATCTCTTTTCAAATAAAGCCTATGGACTATAATAAAAATGTCAGTGCATCCTTTTATGTTTTATTTAATACAAGAGAAGGAAAACTTGACAAACAGGTTTCTTATCAGAATATTTTAGAAAAAAACAAATGCTACACAGTTCTCACTGATATTTTTATAATTTAATTGCATCTTGAAAATGATATAAATGAAGTGAGACATTATTATTATACCTATTAACTTTATATGATAAGATCTATTGGTCAACCAAGTAGAAATGAAAAGTTTGGTAAAGACATGATGACATCTTTTCAATTTTATTAATAATGATGACCAATGAAGAACATTTTACCAGTATAGCAGCCTGTTACACTAGAGTTTTGAAACAATTTAATGTGTGTTTTGAGCTAAATTGTCAGTATGCCCTCAGACCAGACATAATGTGTCTTTGAAAATATATTAAAAGTGACTATTTGTTAAATTTCAATAGTTCAAGATTCTGATCACCTTGTAATTTTGAAAGTAACTGATCACATTGTAATTATATAAGTAACAGATCATATTGTAATTTTGAAAGTAACTGATCATATTGTAATTTTGAAAGTAACTGATCACATTGTAATTTTGAAAGTAACTGATCATATTGTAATTATATAAGTAACTGATCATATTGTAATTTTGAAAGTAACTGGTCACATTGTAATTTTGAAAATAACTGATCACATTGTAATTTTGAAAGTAACAGATCATATTGTAATTTTGAAAGTAACTGATCACATTGTAATTCTTAAAGTAACTGATCATAATGTAATTCTTTAAGTAACTGATCATATTGTAATTATAAAAGTAACTGATCACATTGTAATTATAAAAGTAACTGATCACATTGTAATTATATAAGTAACAGATCATATTGTAATTTTGAAAGTAACAGATCATATTGTAATTTTGAAAGTAACTGATCACATTGTAATTCTTAAAGTAACTGATCACATTGTAATTCTCAAAGTAACTGACCACATTGTAATTATAAAAGTAACTGATCACATTGTAATTATATAAGTAACAGATCATATTGTAATTTTGAAAGTAACTGATCACATTGTAATTCTTAAAGTAACTGATCGTATTGTAATTATATAAGTAACTGATCACATTGTAATTTTGAAAGTAACTGATCACATTGTAATTTTGAAAGTAACTGATCACATTGTAATTCTTAAAGTAACTGATCACATTGTAATTCTTAAAGTAACTGATCATATTGTAATTATAAAAGTAACTGATCACATTGTAATTATATAAGTAACAGATCATATTGTAATTTTGAAAGTAACTGAGCACACTGTAATTTTAAAGTAACTGATCACATTGTAATTCTCAAAGTAACTGATCATATTGTAATTATAAAAGTAACTGATCGTATTGTATAAGTAACTGATCATATCGTAATTTTGAAAGTAACTGATCACATTGTAATTCTTAAAGTAACTGATCATATTGTAATTATATAAGTAACTGATCACATTGTAATTTTGAAAGTAACTGATCACATTGTAATTCTTAAAGTAACTGATCATATTGTAATTCTTAAAGTAGCTGATCACATTGTAATTTTGAAAGTAACTGACCACGTTCATGTTACTGGTTTAAATATGATAAGTTTAGAAGTTGATGACATCTTGTGTCTAAGCAATCAAACAATTTGCAAGGGAAAAACTCATAACCCAAAAATTTACTATCTTCAGTTTCCAAATATAGAATAAATTCTTCTTTTTATTGTTAAACAACCCAATAATATCGTGATTGCAAATATCATGTATAATTTCAACATTATTCATTTTGAGAAAGATTTACATTTATAACATATGACCATATCAGCAAGTTTTCTCATTCACTTAATTAAACCTATCAACAATACATAACAGTGTCTTCAGAAGACATCAATATTGCCGATTGGGGTGTTTATAAGACTTGGTAATCATGATCAATGTATATAAATAAACCATTTAAATTCGGTCAGAAAGATCAATCTAGTACTAATCAGACTAATCTTACTATTGGATGTTACCATTTCTATAAATAACCTGGCTTTAATTAAACCAGTCCAGTACCAAAGTAACCCAAGTTTGAAATTGACATAGATATTACTGTCCTACTTCAGAAGTTGGTCTCTTGGTCAAATTGTTAACCTACTGTGTATGATCAGCATTTTGAACAAATCAGTTTGTTTGTTTTAAAATTTACCCTTTGAACATTTTGAGTGGATAAAAAACACTTCATATACTTGATGTTAATGTTATGTAACATCACTCTGTAATGACTGCTTGGGTATATATCTTTTTCTGTGGCCAGTAGAAAGACCGAAGAAAGACTAACTAATTTCTGCCACTGATTGTTATTTTACTTGTGATATATAATATTCAACTTTAATTGAGGAGATAGAAAAGTGTTTCAGAAGGCTATTTTAAGTGAAATGATTTTGCAGATGTTAATTTTATTCATACTATGACTTTCTTAATTTAGACAATTTCCTGATCACACTAATCAGTAGCCAGATTCAGCTGTTTAAAAATAGAGCAATCAAATCCATGCTAGCCATTTACTCCTAGCCTACATTCTTATCAAATAGCCGGTAGATGTCTGATTCCATTTCTTTTCCTTGTAAGCTTATTGATCTTCGTTCCAGAGATAAACACATATCAGCGTGAAATACCCTCTTATCTCTCACAGTAACAATATGGACTATTTACTCAATTCTTATTGGCTAACAGGGTTAAACCACACTATTTATTCAATTTTTATTGGTTAATGGGTTTCGAGGTCTTAGAAAGACATAAGAAGGATGCTATCAGGATGCGACAATAAGAAAAACATGTTCATTCTGAGGAATACATCTGAACCGATTGCCTTAAAAATATCATAATCTAATCTTTCAATATTGAAATAAGATGGTTAAATTGCAAAAAAGATCTGGTAATATTTCTGGTAATCAATATCTAGTAGCCTTGACTCAGTGAGTGTAGAATTTGAGTTGAAATATCGGTTCTAACATAAAGAGTCTAACTAAATGACAATTCTATTCCTTGTGGGACTATCACTTGACAAATATTCAGATTAAATTCATTACCACAGCCATATGAACCCAACAAAAAACCATAAACAGGAAGAAAGTGCTGGAATGAAGGATAAAATTCCCGCCCATGAAATTAATAAGCAACTAGGTCTATTTCTTGTATGGAAAATGTGAAAAAACTTAGTTAAAAGGTTATTATCTGTATAAATATGATGGAAATATGATTTGTGATGACCAATCGGATTTGAGTATGTTAATATGTTCCTTCATCTCATCTGTTGCCTTCATCGTTTTAACCTCAACCTGCAAATGTGAACTTTGTTGAATTTTGTGATATTTACAATGGATTTCAGATATTGGTTCAGATTCTTATTTCAGATAAGTACATGATCATCTAAGGTATATTTTACTATACTCTTTTTGCCGCTATGACAAGTTGATCATTGGATTTTTATTAGATTAGTTTGAGTTGGTTAGCAGGCCCCATTTTCAATCCAATAATTTGGTATGGCTGAATCAATTGTTTTACTATGTTTTAAGTTTATTTTATATATATTAAGTCACTATTGTTGAAGGTCAAACACTTTCATCTGTATCTCTGACATAGGGAATGTTTTTTTAGTATGAACAGTATGATGTATACAACAAGTACAAAAAGATAATAAAAAGTGCTTCTTATCTTGTACATCATTGATGAACTGTTAATAAAAAAAATAAACCATCTTCAAACAAACCTTTGACAATCCCAATCTGTATCACACATGGAGCTGTTTTATCAAATTAGTCTATGTTTTAAAAGTAAGAATGTTTGTATTGTATAGATGATATTTGAGCAATCAAGCAGTTAAAAAATGTCAACCCTCATTGCCCCTTTTCATCTGAAAATTCAATTTTCTAGTAGCTTGGATTACAGGCTGTAAAGATCAGACAGCAAAAAGCAAATCTTGTAGATCTTACCACACAGCAGTAAATTGTGGAATTGACCTTTATAGAATATGAATCATCTATACTTCATAAATTATGACAAAACAATGAAGTCTTTTTTTTACAAGTTTTGTTCAAAATACTTGATTCAGAAAAAATAGAACAATGGCATCACTGTAAAAGAACTAGTTACAACTTGAAGACATCTGCGTTCTGCTTAGGTGAAAGACTTCCTGGCATATGTTACAACTAATGGTAGATTGCTATCAAATTGCAAATGTATTGTAAGATTCAAAAGATTCACTTACCCACACTAGATCTTGCTGACATGTATAATAAGCTCAACAAACCTCTATTATAATACAAGATGTAATCAGAGATCTGACAATGTCACCTCTAGGCCACTAATATACTGTGATATGTGTTTTCTTTTCAAAAGAGTTAATCATTATACCTATACTCTATGGATGACTTCCCATGTTTTTTTTATTACACTTGAAAATCAATATGCCATCCAAACAACATAAACAAACAAGAGTGCAATGATCAATCTCCTTTTGAGATTCTGTCGAGATTTCCACAAGGAATGGTGCTTCCAATTGAGTTGAAATAATAAATAACTTTAAATGGTGGGTAAGACAGACTTTCTACATATCTCTTTCATAACCTTATTGAGTTCATCCCCATGTTAGGAGGAGGAAAAAGTCAGTCTACAGCTAAAGACAATGAATAAAAATTTGATAGCCTTAGTACTATCACTATAATTATCTCAATGAAAACCATCTCCCATCTTTAACCTCATCCATCTGAAAATTTTACAGTTATATGAAGTGAACTAATTAGGGTCTTTTATCCAAATTATCAAAGATGGATAATGCTTAGCTAGTTGTAAAGAGAGATCTTAAACAATGCACACTCAAATGTTTACCTATTAAACTAACCAAGGCTATTTTTTCAATGTAAGTGAGCAACAGCCTATCTATCAGAAATTGCCTTACTCTCTCTCAACATTTTTCAGAAGAAATGATTTCCAGGAAGAACTCTAATAATCAGTGTGGAACAGTCTTTTTAGTAATATACAGGTTTTGGATTTAATCCCAGCCTAGCTCAAGATAATACCATTGTATTTTTTAACCCAGATGCAGGAAAGAGGGGCTGACATGACAAAAGCGTCTATGAGCTCAGATGGCCCTATAAACCCTGGTCATATTTGCTATTAACCGTGCCTATTACAAATGAATTTGTCAGTTTGAAAGAAAAGGAATAGGCTAAGGCATACATGTGTACAGGTCAAGAAAATAAATCTACTTTGCCTTGAAAAATCTGGAGATTGGGTTAAAAGTCCAAATTTGAAACTCCAAATTGATTCTTTTTTAATTTCTAAATAAGCCTTAAGCCTTGTAAATTAATTAAATTGATCATAGGCCTGCTATACATGACACGGTAAAAATTAACAAATCTATAAATTGGGAATAGGCCTACCTAGGCAAAATAATTCTAGAAATAGTGCCTGATATTTCAAGTTTAGGGGCGCAAAAAAATTTAATATTGTCCTTCTTCATGTGATACCATATCAAAATATCAGTATGTTTTGAAAGCAATCTCTAGTAAATAATATGTACTCCAATGTTACTTTTTCCAAAGGTGTAATTCATTACATCTAAAATATCTCCAGTCCGATCATTAAATAATTTTCCTGCAACACTCTCACGAACTATTGAAGCAAATTTGCCGCTTCCATTTTGACACTCTTCAGTTAGAAGACTGCTAACAAGAAAGCCTGTGATGCAGGCAATAAAATGAATGTTAACAGACTACAGTAAAATTAAAAAACGATTTTATGAAACGAAGTTTGAGTTTACATAAGAATTAGGCATCTACTCGCGCATGATAATCTACCGATAATAAAAAAGATTTCTGAAACGACGTCTATGTTATATAGGCCTATTACAGACCTCACAGAGTATAAAATACTATGAAGACTTCAAGGTTTCATTTTTTAGTAAAAGTATGGCTACCGTAGAATTTATTGTAAAAGCGAAAGTAGAATCTACCAGATGTTGTTATAAAAAGTGGGCTTAAAATACACATTGGGTGAAAATAGATAAAATTATGATCTTAATTGGGGGATTTTAATCAGGCAATGATAATATTATTAGGTGATAAGATTAAAGCATGTTACCGACAATCAAGATACAAGTGATAATAGATATTTTGTTGATTTATGGTAGAGAATTTGGACATTGAAAACGGTAGATCCTGTTAGAATTTGGTCAGGAAAAAAAACAAAAAATTGGTAAAATTGGGTATCCTGTCAGTAGAGCGGTAGACAACATTAAAAAGCGGTAGAAACCTGACAACATCGGTAGGTTACACATGTATATCCTTTTTTTAACCAGAAAAGAAAAACTGCCTTTCTTTTCATTACCAACACCGACTTATTCACATCACTATTAAATGCCCTAGAAAATGGGCTTTTTGTCTACAAGTCACTTAATAATTCATCTTCTGATCACAGAGATTTACAACCCCTTATTAAAAAAAACTTCTAATCTTCAATATATCAATTATATTAGATTCTCACTCTACCACTCAACATGAACAAATTGTATAGGAAGTTATTGAGGCTAGGTAAAAAAGGTTGTAATAATACCTGTACATTGTAAAAAAATGTATTAAATAGAGTGAAAGGTATAATATCCTTGAGACTTATAGTAATGCTCTGATAACTTATTTAATGAAATCCATTAGATTCTAGGTATTTTATGTATAGAAACTATGAAATTTCTATGAAAATTGTTGTCCGAGAGTGGGAAATAATATCAAGACTTCATATTGTTGTGTGTACTAAATTAGCCTATTTTGTCACAATATATCTTATTTTGACACCATCTTTTTTCCTGTAAGTAAGTGGCAGTCCAGCTCCTATTATATTCAGTCACCAAAGGTCATACAATACTAAATTCTAAAGCTGTTTGCTAATTTACATAAATACTCAGGCCAAGTGATGTCAAGAGCAAGAAGGTTGATAATACAATAAGGTTTGTCAATCTGCAATTTGTCTCTCTTTCACTATAGATAATGATCACAATATTAAAAGAATACTAGTATAATTGCAAATTCACATGACATCAGTGCAGACATACCACCAGTTGAATAGGTTGTGTCTGGTTCCAGGTTGATCAACAACTCAAGGTAAAAAAGACTTAATGTAGAAAAACATGACAAGAAATTAAAAGCAGAGTAAGACAGAATGGCGGCAAAGGTTTACTGTCTTTGTACTGCAATGCACGTAATACAAGAAGGTGAACTTGATTAATTAACTAAGCTTACCTTATGGTGTAGACCCTAAACCAAGTTATACATCAAATCATGATTAAATTACTGTGACATCAAAAGTTAATTAAATAGATGTTCAAAATATTACCTATGTGGCTCCTGAAGTGTGCAAGGTCATAAACCCAAACAACTTGAATGTAGTGATGAATAATTATCTGACACATTAATGGGAATTTTAAAAATACTTGTTTTTGTGTGCACCAAGACACATATGACTTTCTGGTGAAGTATCTATACTTTGTCAAGTAGTCCTAGAAACAACTATAAAAGAGTCAATAAGAATGATAGGAAAATAGAAGTTTTAAGATTAAACTATGAAAACTTAAATCATAAAAAGAGAAACTAAAAGTTTTAAATAATGAATATAAAAATCATACAAATAGAAACTATTATTGAACATATCTTCTTACAATTCCCTTAAACATCTCCCTTATAAATTAATAAAACTTCTTACAATACAAAATAGTGATAAAGTTATAGAATGATAAGAATTAATAATATAGACAAGTAATTAACTTAAAACATAGCAGGTGTGACAACAATACATCAATTTTTCATAATTTCAACACTTGACCAATTGGCTGGTCTTATTAAAAAACTTGATTGAGTATTTATATGCTGAATAAAACATTATACTGCAGCAGTAGAATATTCAATATAATGAGAGTTGTAATGTATTTGCCAATAATGTCTTAACACATTTAAAATATGTTTCCAACCTATATTCCAAAATATTGGTGAAGTCTTGGTTGGATTCAATACAGATAATAGTTTTGTTGATCTTTAGCTTCTATTCCCCTTAAAACTTTTCTGTTTGGAAGATATTCATTATCTATTCATCTATAACTAACCATGCACATCAACTGTATATCATAAACCCTCATACTTATTGCATGACTATTTTTCATTAAGTTTCACAATGAAATTGGTAGAAACCCAAAATTTAAGTACTATGTTCACCATCAGTAATTATTTCTTCTCAGATAAGACTAAAGCTTTTTCTCAAGTCACGGGAGATACTGATAAAGATGTACTCTGACAACTGGTAATTTACTAGTAACAACCATTCTCTATCTGAATATATTTATTAGGCTACTGATTTACATACACCAACATTCATGGTTTTGGCTGAATTGTGTAAGCACTATCTTTTGAAGGAGAAACTCTTTGAAAGAATTTTTCAAATTAGTGAGGCCTTGTAATGTATATAATTTTTTTAACACTGTTCATGTAAATAGATATTCATAAACATCAGTTCCAAAAAAATATCTGTATAGGGTCCAGCAGTCACAAATAAAAGCTCACCATGTCAATGTATTTTCAACATCAAATCATTCATTAGATGACGTATGATGTAACAGATGAAGGAGCAGCACGTCAACACGAAAATTGTCAGCAAATTATTGAGGCAAATTATATTCAAATTCACTCATAGAGTATATAATGAAAGCTTACCTAATACATATATCTACAAGGTATTGCTTTGTTGCTTGTAGTTGAAAAAATTAAACAATTTACATATTTTGTTTTTTTAACTTCTGAATAGTCTCTTGGTTAAAAAATATCTTAGATATATCTTCATTGAAAGCATCAGGGTAATTATCCCATTTCTGAAGAATTGTGTGTGTGGTAGTGTCAACCTGAGATGTCTGAATGAAAATTGGAGCAGTGCAAATCAATGCTATCAATCTTCTAGATAAATATTAAAAGTTAAGAAAATCTTTTTACAATCCCTTTATCATTTGAGTAATGAAGCA